ACTGAGTGTTCAGGTGTGGGGCCTTGGCCGAAGGGGCCTATCTTTGGTGTGAAGATCTGAAAAGCCTGGAATGCAGATCAGACAACCATGAGGTGATTACTAGGGGAGGGGTCACTTCACCACAGAGGTGCTGGCAGATATGGAAAAGGGAACTAGAAGCCCACCCAGACAGAGAGTTTAGTGAATTTATCTTAAGAAGCCTGAGAGAAGGGTTTCGGATCGGGTTCAAGCGGGCCGGTCGCCTGAAACCTGCCAAGGGTAACCTACAGTCAGCTTTAGAGCATAAAGAAGTGGTGGACCAGTACATCAGTAAGGAAGTAGATGCAGGGAGACTTATACGAGTAGAAAAACAGGTGCACCTCAGTCCTTTTGGAGTAATTCCAAAAAAAGAAGCAGGAAAATGGAGACTAATTTTTGACCTGTCTCACCCACCAGGCGCCAGCATCAATGACGGCATCGAGAAATCTTTGGCATCTATATCATACGTGTCAGTAGATAATGTAGCAGAAGTGATAGCTGAGCTGGGACGAGGCTCATTCCTGGGAAAGTGCGATGTTCAGAGTGCCTTCAGGCACATTCCTATCCATCCTAGGGATACAGGCTGGCTCGGTTTACAATGGGAGGGGAAAGTGTACATCGACTCTGCCTTGCCATTTGGATTGAGATCGGCCCCTAAGATTTTTACAGCTGTGGCCGATGCCTTACAGTGGGTGATAATACGGAAAGGGGTGGAACATCTATTTCACTATATGGACGACTTTATCACAATAGCCCGTACAGAGAAGGAATGTGAGGCCGCAATGCAGGTAATCCAAACAACGGCAGAGGGGCTGGGCTTACCACTGGAACCCAAAAAAACAGTGGGTCCAAAGCAGCAGATAACCTTCCTGGGCATAGAGATCGACTCAATAACAATGGAAGTCAGGCTACCGCAAGAGAAACTGACCGAACTGCTAGAGCTTCTGGAGGCGTGGCTGGATCGGAAGCACTGTACTAGAGACAATCTAGAATCACTAACGGGAAAATTGCAGTTTGCCAGCCGGGTGGTACGCCCTGGCAGGTGTTTTCTGCAGCACTTCTATGCAGCCATAGCAGTGGCAAGAAAAAAAGCAGAGGTAATGAGAGTCAATAAAACAGTCCGGGCAGACATTCGATGGTGGCACACTTTTGCACAGGAATGGAATGGGACATCCCTACTGTGGAGTTGTGTGTAACAGACGCTCCTAGCTATCTGTTCACCAAACTTATTTCTTAATCAACACGAAACTCAACTGAGCTCAAAAACCAACTAACAAAAAAACTAAAACACAACTCACAAACAACACACTTATATAGATCTTATAAATGTCCAGAAGGTTCTATAACATACAAGAATACTTTACATGATTGTTCTAGAATATACTTGAATAAACACATAATATATAATTACAATAGTACACAGAGAGTTCCGGATCCATTTAGAAACAACTTCTTACATTTCCTCCCTTCCCCTCTGGCACGAAGTGCTCTTCCTCTCCAATCTAGAAAGTGCATCTGCATTTGCATTTGCTACCCCTTTCCGATGTTGTATAGTGAAATTATATGGTTGCAGAATCAAACTCCATCTAGTCAATCTTGCATTCTTCTCTTTAAC